TTTGAGGCATGGGTATAGTCGGATCAGTCTTGGTAATCCAGAAGGGAGGGGTGCCCAGTGTATTATTACATTTCATATATTATTTTTCAAGAAATGGATGCAATCAGTCATCTTCTCGCATATGGTTTGAAAAAAAAAATTGTCTTGCTGGCAAGTAAACTGTTATTTAAGTACACAATCCATGGTACTACAGAAACAGTTTTGCCAAACTTGTCCAAGTATTCTCACATCCTTAAAGATGGTATAAATATCATTTATAGCAAGCCGTTTACTTCAGACTATATGGAATGCCTTCCTGCTCCCCTGATCTAAGTGTCCCAGTTTGCATTATGGCCTTTATTGCTTCTGTTTGATGGAGTGATCAGTAAAAATTTAATGACACTATAAAATAATAAAAATGTCATTAATTTACCACGGGTCTTGGATGCAGTGGTTGTAAAGTTACATTAATAAACAGAATATTTTTTACAACAAAAAGCATTGTTACGTGGGAACGTATAAATAACACACATAAATTTAAGAGCAATTTTACTGTTAGCACACACATTATTATGGAATAGCCAATAAGTGTATAAAACATAGTATATAAAATTTTATGAAAATATACTGTGCACATCAAAAATTCAGCTTTTATCTAAGTGCAGAGAAAAGCCATTATTATGTGCTTACTGTTTCATTGCTGTTCTTTCACAAGATCACAATTTTATATTTGTTTCTAGTCATTTGAAGTTTGCAGTCTTTTCAGAGGTAGGGGCTACTGCTTCCTTTTCCTTTACTCCTTACTTCACTAAATCATTCTTTTACCTTCCACACATGAAGAAGAATTGATACTTTCTGCCAGAACGTTACGGAGAAGTTGCTAATTTAATGCAAAGCTAAAAATAATGCCAAAGGGGTTGAAAGGCTTGCTTGGCGACTCTGGAAATAAGGGATAACTATCTAGCAGTCTATCTGTCATCACTGGGGCTGCTCCATCACTGACTGTGATAATATGTGAATGTGATGGATGCCACAGCCTTGTGGCTCATAACATTTAACATTCATCAGCTCTCACTAACGGGGGCTTTATAATTTAAATATCTTTATTTAATATGCAACATCTACCTCATACATCATAATTTCAAAGCACTTAGAGAACCAACAGTCCTGCAAGACAGTTGAGCAGACTTTAATTTTTTCAATAACTTTTACGTTTTCTGCATGTTTGTGACTGACAATGCATAAATAAGTGCCTAATCATATCACAGAGTGGAAAATTAAGATTTGGCTGCTAAGAAGAATCTTTTTCCTCCTCTTTTTCTCATTTTAAAGAAGTGATTATTTTTACTGTGTGTTCAACATATAAAGAAGCACAAAGGATCTGAATGGTGTTGGGAAGAGCTTTCAGTTTTCTAGTGCAAATTCCAATTGACTGTGGTGATCTAGTCATGAGAAAGGGTTGTCAGAGTCATGTCCTAAACCCTTTTTTTCAAATTTAAATGGGAAAACTTAATGTGACTATACAGTATAAACTCTGTAGCCAGTACAAAAAATCAGTTCAAAATAGAGGTCCAAAATGCTTTTTCACAGGAAAACAAAACACCTGCACTGTCCATAGCGGTGCACTTTATTATAAACTCAGCAACATTTTCTATTAATGTAGGTTAGGGAGGTAGCAATATATCCAGTAGTTGATGTACATGTGTGCAAATATACTGCACGTGTAAATAACATATTTATTAGTGCAGCTATGTTGTGGTGGGTTGACCTTGGCTGGATGCCAGGTGTCCACCAAGCTGCTCTATCACTCCCCTCCTCAGCAGGATGGGGAGAGGGGGAGAAAATAAGATGGAAAAAACTCGTGGGTCAGGATGAAGGCAGTTTAATAAAAGTAAAAGCAAAGGCCACATGCGGAAGCAAAGGCAAACAACAGATTTATTCCCTACTTCCCATCAGCAGGTGATGTCTAGCCACTTCCCGGGAAGTAGGGCTTCAGTACACGTAGCAGTTGCTCTGGAAGACAAACATCATAATAAAGATATCCCTTTGGTCAGTTTGGGTCAGCTGTCCTGGCTGTGTCCCCTCCCAAGATCTTGCCCACCACCAGCCTACTAGTGAGGGTGGAATGTTGGAGAGACAGCCTTGATGCTGTGTGAGCACTGCTCAGCAGTAGCCGAAACACTGCTGTTACCAACACCTTTCTAGCTACCAATACGAAGCACAGCACTATGAGGGCTGCTATAGGGAAAATTGACTCCATCTCAGCCAGACCCAATACATATTTTAATAAAGGTATGCCATTTTTTGTTCATACAGGAATGTTATGTACAGAAGCAATCTTCCTCTCAGTCCTTGCTCATACTAGGAGAAAGGTATACTTTTAAAGGATTTTTAGTGCAAGTAACTAGTCTCTTTAGGATGAATTCAAGACGGGAGCAAAGACAAATCCCATAAAAAAGGATTGGAACCTAGTGGGACAAGTTTCCTCTCTAATAATAAATTTCATATGAATTTGTTGTATTTCATGGAATTGTAAAGGCATCTACTAGAGAAAAAACATTATTAGTATTGAACATTTTTCTATTTTTTACAGTTCTCTGAATTTTTCTAAACCCATTGCAAATATTGAAACTTTTTTATGATCACTATGAAGATTATTTTCAGTAAAAAAGCAAGCAAAGGAATGACTTTAAAAGGCATTTCAAAGACTTAAACATAGCTAGCTTTGTTACAGCTTTTTATGAATTAGAAGGAGGGGATTATGAAATAACTGTAAGTACATGTCCTTTGTTTAACAAGAGCAGGTATTTTTATCGTATAAGTGCTTTCATTTTACTGTTCCTGAACCTTTTCTCCTTCCATGTCAAAATATTGATATTCTTTCAGAAACTTTCTTTTTTTCTTCTTTTTTTTTAACAGAATATTTTCTGGTAAAATCAAAGAGAATGAGTGACTAGAAAGATATTTCAAGTGTGCATATTGATACGTAGCAGGGTCTGTTGATTTTTATAGCAGAAAGGTATGTCTCCTTCTTCTGAAACTCTCTTAAAGGCTGTTCTTCCAAGAATACTGCAGGTGCTGTATTAACATCCTTAAGAAAAAGCTTTTAGCGCAAATATTTTGGAAGAGACAATATATGTGCCAAAAGCTGTTTTCTTAATACTGATCTTTGTTTTTATCTCAACTGCAAATCAGCCCTTTGCAATGGAACACAGAATCCTTGACAAACTTCTTTTTCATTCTGTCTACCAGTAAAACAGATCCCATCCTGATGATTCAGGTGTATTGCTACATTGCACAACATCTTTCAGTAAAATATTGGGCCTCTAGTATTGCAGCGCCTTTCTGCAGTCACATTTCATTTGTAACTCTTTCTTTTCTCATGAGTTCCTTTGTATATGTAAGCTCCTTCATCAACCACAGATTTTACAGAAGAAAATAAGTTAAGTAGTTAACCAAATACAAAATGCAGAGTTATTTTGTTCGACAACTGGAAGATTCTGAGGAACTTCTAGACATGTGGTTAGTACCTGAAATGTCTCAGCTGCATGTTGTGGCAAATCCAGTGTCAGGTTGTGCTTTCTTGTCTTCCTCTGCAAATTAAACAGAAAATAATTTAAAAAATCCGTGGCTGAAGGAATCAAGAGAATGAGGAATCAAAATAATTCCTCAGCTGTTGGCCTGGTGGGATTTTATTACTGAAAGATAATGACAATAGAAAAATAGTGACATTGGAAAGCAGAAGTATTTGGAGGTGGAGCAAATGAGGAGTCAAGGCCATGAAGTATGTTTTGTCCTTAAGACAATTTCCAAGTTTCTAACCATCTTGCAGGAGAGAAACTCCTAATATTTTCTTCCTATGTCTAGTATGCACAGCACAGAACTAGGTCATTGAACAATAGACTGAACAGCAATCAGCACTCTACTTCTGCATAATGCATTAAGTATAACAGGGAGAAACTGTTTGTAGAGCTGAAAGCTGGTATTTCATGTCTGTAAATTCAAGCTGACATGACATTTAATATTGTTTCATAGTAATGAACAACAAGGTTTCATTCATTCACAAGTACAACATAATGCCAAGTTTAGTCTGAAGAGGTAACAACAAGGCAAGAGGGAAAACATGCTATGTTCCTTCAAATGAGAATGCTAAATTAATGATAACCATTGAACGCTTTGCTACTGATACAGAGTACTACAGAGAGTACTATTGTGAGACAATATCACACAGTCATTTATAGTGCCCTTGTCCAGTAGTTGACTGAAGAACTGGATTAACACATAAAATACCTTTCAGTTTCCACTTTCTAGTTCCAGGTTTCCAATGGAGGTCTCCAGCTCTCAAAAACTTTCTGCTTTTCTAGGTGTGCATTCTTTTTCCTTTTTTTTTTTTTTTAATCTCCTGATGTTCCCTTTCCACTGAGGTACAATTTAAATTCCTAGACAAAATAATAATATCAGTTCTGTCATCTGTTATTCCTTCTTTCTAATACTTGTCTTTGAAAACCTCTTGCATAAAGTTCAGACATGTTTTCTCAGAGGTATGAATGCAAACTTGAATCTCATAGTGGGGAAAAAGTGTTTTTTCCATTAAATTAGCAGTATATTTTAATACAAACTCTTCTTGCAACTTCTGAATTTTCATGTCTCCCAAATGTTGATTGTCTTTTCTAGTTTAAGTTAGAAAATAAGTGGAAAGGCAAAGTGAGCAGCATTGATCAGCACTGTTTGCTGCCAAGAGTGTTTTGTATTTGCATGTACAATCGTTTATGCATTATGGCAGTGCAGATCAAAATAATCTCAAAGTTTCTGTATATGTTTCACATTTAAAACTGATTTTCATAAATGCAAACATTCAGAATCTATAAAAAATTGTCCCTGAGTTAAAAGTCTAATTAAATACACTCATTATTTGTTCAGATTTAAAAAATAAGGCATGTATCAGTGCATACACATATGCACAGGCATATAATGAGAACTAACCTATATGGAGCATTAAGACTACTTCTGTTCTTTTCCAGGAAAGAACAAGGTTTGAAAATTTAGGCCCACAGTTAACAGGGAAACCCAATGAAGATGGAAAACTGGGCCCTGGTGTCATTGATCTTACAAGGCCAGAAGATGCAGAAGGTGAGTTGCAATTTTGACTATAGGTTATTGAACACACTGCATCACAGAATGGTATGGCTGAAATGCTGCCAGTGTCGTAAGTAGTGTCTAGCTTACATCCCAGGGTAACGCCTGAATGATTTCTGTGTGTTTTTGTGAGATTGTAATAAGTCCATAGCAAAGGGCAGACTCATGAAAAGGACTGTATAGCCCTCTAAGCCCTTCTGCAACACAACTATTTTTTTCCCCCAGCAGCTGTCAATTAATTGTTTACATTTTATACTATTAATAAAAGTGTAGGAAACACTGAGAAAATTATCTCAGCAAGGCAATATATACATATATAAATTTTTTCACCAGTTTTTAAGGATTTAGCAGCTTTGAAGAAAGTTAGAGCCCTTTAAGAAGTCTACCCATCAGTGCACTCACAAACTATTCCAGATATAGCAAGCACAATTTTATTGACAGGCAGCTGTCAAATGATAATGGAAAAATATTTCACATTTTCTATATGAAAATGTCTTTTTCATGATATAAACCTTCAGTGCATTTGCACTCATTTCAGTGAGAGTTCTATATATCAGGCATACAGTGTCAAGCCACAGGTAGAAATCAGTGTTTATCAAGACTGAATTTAGTCTCTAGCAGGGTTACCAATGCATATTCTGGAAGTGGATGCCACTGGTATCCTCTCTACCTTATGATACATTAGAAGAGAACATGTAGATAGATAGGAACCCTACCAGTCACTGTAGTAAGATTAACGTACTATTCAGGTAGAATATTATGCAACATTTTGCCCCCTCAATTTACTTCTCTTTGAGAATCATTTTGCTCTTTTTTAACCTGACAAGTTTTAGTTATGCCATTGTTCTTGAGAAAAGGTTAAAACATCTCTAAATTTTTCCATTAATATCCAAACATCTGACAGGTTCAAAATTTGCTTTTTTTCTTGGATCAAAAGAATAGAACCAATAAACTTATGATTGTTGACAAATAGGGTTATTTTCAAATGATTCTTGAAATACTATGACAGAATTTTTCTGATTAAAAGGCATTAATATTTTCTGTATAGAGAAATATTCCTATGAGCACATATTCTGTTCTGTCTGTCTGTGACCCAGAAATAAAAGGTCCAGGTAAGGTCTCATGAATTGTCCCTTCATTTTGAAGTCTGACAACAACAGCACATGTAAATGTTATCTTTTCTTTAGTGTATGGGTAGTACATGATATGCCTGTGATAAAACATCTTAAAGCCCTGATTCTCCTTGCTTGCCAACCAACATACATTATCTTTAATCAGTCTCTAGGCAAACCAAAAAAGCTGAATTTAAAATTATTTTGGGCAAGGACTTGTATACAATGGAGAAGCTGCAAGTTCAGTTCCAAGATGTTCCTGTATTGACTCATCCATACAGAGGAAGAGTTAACTCTCAAATTTAATTCCGCAAAATATTCCTACTTGTTGGCTTAATATCATGATTAGCTTATCACATGGAACTGACACATGCACCAGGAGCACATGCTGACATGGGTTTTGCTTAGATTTTTTTTTCTAAGTATTTTGACATAGTCAAGATTTCAGGTCTCCATAGCAGTAAGATAAGATGATGACTGAAGCTCATCAGCCATTTATTATAAATAATATTCAGAAGGAGACTAGCACCTTAATGAGAGATTTCAGATTTTCCCTATGTACATTTTTAATAGTTCCTTATAAAACCAATTATTTCCAAATTTTCATTTTTAGGGAGCTGTTATTTATGAGCTTCATTTATTCATCCTTCATTGGATGTGATTGGCCACTGTTGTATTGTCTTTAAACAGAAAAATAATAAACAGAACGTAGGTAAAAAATAACTTTCAGACAGGTGTTTTGCAATGATTTTTTTTCTAGAAAAAAGGCCTTAGGAGATACATGGACTTTCAAAAGTATTTGTTGACTAATCAGTTATTTATAAACTGCTTTGTAAAGGAATTTCCATCCTGCAGCAACTTCTCGTATTTCAATGTGTTGAAGGATATTTTTTTCCTCAGTTGGGATGAAAATTTGCAAAAGAATATTTACAGATACACAGTTACTGGTTCATATGACATCAAGTCCCTGAGGACTTTCTTGGTTTAGCTCATTTCCTTCAACTCATCCTTTCTCTTTCTAGTGTCCTTAATTTAGTATCTTGATACACCTTGTGGTACTGACAGCTCCTCCTGTTACTGGATAGTGCAGAATGAAGCTTTGACATATGTAACCCAAGCTACAGTGATGTGTGCCAGTTTAAGGATAGTGTACATGTCTTTCTAGAGCTAGTGGGGCAGTTTGAGGCGTGGTGTGTTGCCACATGGGAAATCTGAGTTCATGAATGGATTCAGATTTCCAGACTTTGTTTAGCAGCCAAGAGATGTCTCTGGAAAAGAGATGCTGGATGAATACCTCTGCTGATCTGAAAAAAAACGTTGATGGGAGTTCAAAACTGAGCTGCTTATTTGTCCTTCTAGTTGTAGACAAGGTGAATTTAGATATTAGCTGGAGATAAAAAAAAGACATGCAAAATATCACCCAAGTTTTGCCCCTTATCTTTGGCAAGCTAGCTAGGAGATGACACTTCTAGCATGGCATCATTTAGAGTGGAAGTCCATTGAAAACAGTGCTGCTGAAATATCAGCAGTTAAACTATGGCCTCTGATGTACTGTACCATGCTACAGACTCTGTTTGTCTTCAAGAATATTAATGCTTCTAATTGTCATGAAACTATTACAGGTCTTTCTAGGTTTGCCATGTCACAGTTTTTTGTATGTGTTGCTATTATTTTGTGTTTCCATATGTGTCTGTTTCAGCACCGGGTTACTAAGAAACTTGACAACTTATTCTTTAGAATCAGAATCATAGAATCATTTAGGTTGGAAAAGACTTTTAAGATTATCAAGTCCAACTGTTAACCTAACACTATGAAGTCCACCACCAAACCATGTCCCTAAGCGCCACATCTACACGTCTTTTAAATACCTCCAGGGATGGTGACTCAACCACTTCCCTGGGCAGCCTGTTCCAGTACTTGACAACCCTTTCAGTGAAGAAATTTTTCCTGATATCCAATCTAAACCTCCCCTGGTGCAACTTGAGGCCATTTCCTCTTGTCCTATCACTTGTTACTTGGGAGAAAAGACTGACACCCACCTCGCGACAACCTCCTTTCAGGTAGTTGTAGAGAGCGATAAGGTCTCCCCTGAGCCTCCTTTTCTCCAGGCTAAACAACCCCAGTTCCCTCAGCCGCTCCTCATAAGACTTGTTCTCCAGACCCTTCGCCAGCTTCGTTGCTCTTCTTTGGCTTCCTCTAAGAAGACAGCCTTGTTGCATTTTAGTGTGTTGCCAAGGTCACAATCTCAACTGAATGTCAAAGTTTCCTAATAACCATAGTCATATTCTTCGAAGACTTAGTGTGTTTCACACCTTCCTTTCTGTTTTGTCATTGTGTTGTGGTTTAACCCGGCAGGCAGCTAAACACCACACAGCCGTTCGCTCACTCCCCCCCTACTCAGTGGGATGGGGGAGAGAATCGGGGAAAAAAAAAAAAGAATTTGTAGGTTGAGATAAAGACAGTTTAATAGGACAGAAAAGGAAGGGAAAATAATCATCATCATAATAATAATAATGATAAAAGAATATACAAAATAAGTGATGCACAATGCAATTGCTCACCACCTGCCGACTGATGCCCAGCCAGTTCCCGAGCAGCGGTCATCGCCCCCCAGCCAACTCCTCCCAGTTTATATATTGAGCATGACATCACATGGTATGGAATATCCCTTTGGCCAGTTTGGGTCAGCTGTCCTGGCTGTGCCCCCTCCCAGCTTCTTGCTGGCAGGGCATGAGAAGCTGGAAAGTCCTTGACTAGTGTAAGCACTACTTAGCAACAACTAAAACATCAGTGTGTTACCAACATTGTTCTCATACTAAATCCAAAACACAGCACTGTACCAGCTACTAGGAAGAAAATTAACTCTATCCCAGCCGAAACCAGGACACATTGTTACTTACTTTTAATCTTTTTTTCAATTTTTTTTTAGATATCATTTGAGTGCAGGTTGCTGTAGACATCTTTAGATAATATTTATGTGTTTTGTTGTGTGCTTTTATGCAAATAACACAGTCATACAGAAAATAAAGATTTCCAAAGTAACATATTGGTAGTCAACTTTTGACTCCCTGTCTTTCTTCATCAGAAATACATCCAGATCTCTGATGTCCAAGTGCAGTTGTGAAAGAATGTATGTGTGGCTGTTAGATCTGTCAGATGGTTTTACTCCTATCACCAGAATTTTAGAACTTCAGAATTATGAAATTAACTACATTTGAAGAGGATATATTGACTATTTGTAGTGGGCTTTTTTGGGGGGTGGGGTTGGGGGAATGGTGTAACAGATTTATTCCTGAGCCAAGGACTCCAAATTTAGTCCCACTGCTGGCCATAAACTGGGGGGAAGTGCAGTTTGGGCTGCATCCTGATCCCCCAACTGATCTAGACCACGGGGACTATGGAAGTGCAGTTCCACTCCCTGCCTATCTGCATACCTGCATTTCTAAGGGAAACTAAAGTGTGCAGAGACATGGTACATGTCTGTCTCATCCCAGCAGGCAGCCAAGATAGACCAAATCTGGGAAGTGCTCCTGATTCCCATAGCTTTGACACAGCCTTTAAAGTTCAAGTAATTTGTTATAAAAAATATCAGCAGACTTCTATGTCTTATGGAATGCCTTTGTAATAGTATCTAGTAATGATTTCTCTCTACTTCTTCTATCTTTTCTATAACATATGGCAGTGATCTGAGTTTGACAGGATCAGAGTCATGTTTTCCTTTAATTTTAGGAGTGCTTGCGGTAGTGGGTCATTGATCAGAAGCTGAAGCTACTTTTTTTTTTTTTTGGTCTTATCAATTATAAGTCTTAAAATTGTTTAAATTTAGCTCTATGCAATTATAAGACAAATATGAAAGGATACTGCAGAATGACTTTTAAGATT